AGAGCACATTTTCATTTAAAAACATGAGATGCAGTGGGATGGCGGAAAACTTGCCATAAAGTCTCGATATATGTTTTTTTTTCAAAGTTAAACTTGCATTAATTTTACATGGCTTTCTAAACATTTTCTAAACTCTTTTGTGCGAGACGCGAGTGCAACAGTAATATCCGTCTAGATAAAAAATGTGTGAAATATGTGTGCTGTGTGAACGGCTTGGTTTTTGGTTTTGATGTAAACAAGATCTTCTCCGCATTGATGTTCTCTTTTTTTTGTTCGCTATATTTTTAATGAACAACGCAGCAATGCTTGGTTTCGGTTTTGATGTAAACAAGATCTTCTCCGCATCGATGTTCTCTTTTTACGCTATATTTTTAATGAACAACACAGCAGTGCCGCATCTAGTGGCTTCAACTGGATAGGCTAACAAAATCATTATAATGCAACGACACTTACATCGTCATCGCATCTCGTGCGCCACTGATAAGGCTCCCTCCTTAACGCACGCCTAAAATTCGAATGCAACGTTTTTGCATTCGAACGTGGATTTTTATTTTAAATTCGACGAATATTCGAAATTGGAATTTTTTCTGACAGCCCTATAAACTATGATCCGTTTCACCCCTACAAGCGAGTGAACAACACGAATCAAGGAAGGGATTTTTTTTTATCACTATTCAAGATAGCCCGTCGGGCAGGGCAGTGATACATTTTGGTAGCCCAACTGGAAAACACAATAGCCCCGGGACGTCTGGATAGCGATTTTGCGAGCCCTGTAATACACATCACAGATTAAAAATACTTCAAGGTGAACATGCAGACAATGATTGATACTTATAACATGAACACACAGTGCAAATGCTTTTGATAAATTATGACAAACACTGCAAGCAACTATGGACACAAACTCCACCCATCTAACAATTGTCAGTTACACTTTATTTTAAGGTGTCCTTGTTACAGTGCAATTATACATTTAAGTACTGAGTAATATTAATTAACTACATGTACTTACTATATGCCTAGGGTTAGGATCAGGGTTTGGCTTAGGGTTACTTGCATGTAATTATGCATAATTAATTGTTATTATAATAGTAAGTACATGTAACATGTGTTACAAGGACACCTTAAAATAAAGCGTTACCCAATTGTGTCTCCTCCCTAAAGCACTAGAATTGATGCACAGGTGGAGAAGGGGTGAATGATAGAGGGAGGAGAGAAGGGAGGAAAAGAAAGACTGGAACAGGAGGCAGCCTACACAATCCTAGAACACCCCTGCGTTGTGAGAGGCCTGCTGTATTATTCATTCAGTGTACACTGACAGAGGTGTAGGGTTCCTCTGAGAGTGCCCATCCTCCAGCCCACTCAATCTCTCTCTATCAACTGACCTAGAATCAGTAGCCCACTGCATGGCGTAGATTTTGGCTAAATGGCCTCGGAGCGTCCGCCTCGTTCTCATCTGGATCCTTCCAACTGAATCCAGACCAGCTGTAATCTAAACACACAGAAATCCTAATTTACAGTGACATTATTTTAAAGCAAGCAGGGGGCATTTCATTAATCCAAGGTGTGCTACTGATCACTCACGTGTGGAAAAAGTGTTGTATTAGTTGATTTGACTTATGGTGATTACCTAAAAGTAACATAGCACTGACTGAAGTGCAGAATTAAACAGCTTTGAAATGTACAAGAGCCATCACTTCCAACTTCCAATACAAAAAGAAATAATCCAAATAGAAATTATGAAATCTTAAATCCCTAAAACCACCAGGGCGTGGGCTGAATGTTTAAATTTTGATGGAGGACTTGGAATGTAAGAGGTTGTTTAATATTTCATCACACTCAAGAGCATGTTCAGCATGTACGTCAGCAGCCAATTTGCATGTCTGAGCTGAGCTCAGAGAACAGGTGAGTGCAGACATGCCCCATAGCCATGGGTTAGACCAGTGCTGCTCTTATGAGGAGGGGGACCCAGCAAGGACGGTGGCAGAGCTGCTTACCTGGGACAGGCTGGAGTCGCTGCATGCTTTCCTGGCATCCTGCAATGGGAACAGCAGCATGTCAGAGTGCAGTCATTCTACTGAACAAGGCGGAGGTAAACACATATAGTCTATTTCCTGGCATTTAGGTCCACATGAAACTTGTATAAAAAAAAAAAGAAAACTACTCCAATAAACAAAGCTGATATACAGTAGGTAAATGCCGATTACTGGCTGCTAGGGGTGGGCGATATGGTCAAACATCACGAGTCATTTTATTTCACGATAACGGTATATATCACAATATAGTGACTTTTCTTAAGTAAGGTAGGTAAGTAAGGTTTTTATGATATCAAAATTTGATGCCACTGAAATTTCCTAATTCTCATCATCAATTTCAATATCATACAAAAAACACTAATACTAGCTTAACTAAGTAAAAAAAGAAGAAAAAAACTCAAGCTTTCTGAAGACAAGTAAACAGTCAATGATAAAATAAGAACAAAGAAACTAAATACAAGCAATAGAACAAAAAAAACACTTTTTTTTACAGTTATGCAATTACATATTTTAAAGTTGCAAGATTTTTTGGACAATCAATTTTGGAATTGGCTCAATGAGAAACTACTACTTCTTCAGCTAAAGGGGCACCATTATTGGACTAATGCAGATAAAACTCTAAATGGCAAAATATCAGCCAATTAATCAGCATTGCCAACATATCCATCCATCAACTACTTTCCTTATACACTGCCTTTCAAAAGTTTGAGGTTGGTTTAAGATTTATTTTTTCTTTAAATAAGTCTCTTATGCTTGCCACGATTGCAATTATTATTTAATCAAAATTACAGTAAAAACAGTAATATCAAAAAATATTATTACAAATTAAAATAACTTTTCTGTTTTAATACATTTAAAAATGTTATTCCTTTGATGCCAAAGCTGAATTTCCAGCAGCCATTACTCAAGTCTTCAGTGTTACACGATCTTTCAGAAACCATTCCAATATGCTGATTCAATGCTCAAGAAACATTTCTGATTCTTATCAATATAGAAACAAAAGTTGTGCTGCTTAATATTTTTGTGGAAACGGTGATACATTTTTGTTCAGGATGCTTTCATGAATAGAACGTTTAAAAGAATATAACATTTGTCTAAGTACAAGCCTTTACTGACAATTTATTGCATCCTTGCTAAACAAAGAAAAATAAATTATTGAACCCAAACTTTTGAAACTAAGTGTATGCATCAATAAGTATGTTGTGTGAATTAGCACAGCTCAAAGGATTTTGAAGCTCCTTCAAACAACTCTGATGGCCCCTGGCTCATTTCCACATTTCACACAACTGCTTTTACTAATTCAGTGGTTCCAACTCCGGTCCTGGGGATCCACTGCTCTGCACATTTTGTATGTCTCTCTTATCTGAAACACTCAGTTCAATTCATGGATTTCTCTCCTAATGAGCTGATGATATGAATCAGATGTATTAAATAAGGGAGACATATGGTGCATTCAAGTCCTCCTGGGAAGTACGTATTCACGTGCTGGCAAGTCATAATTACAACGTCATGTGCATTTAACTTTGGTAAAGAACGTGCATCAATATGTTTATGTTTTTATTCAAGTTATGAAGGTGCTGTAAACTGAATATATTCTAATGTAATTGTACAATACTATCGCGTTTTGAAGATGCAACTTATGTGGTTTTATTCTAAATGACAAAAAAAATTTCATTCATTTCAACAAATTTACAATCAATACAGACACTGCATATCTATAGTCTTTGGCTGCATCCATTGCATTGAACATGTTTTCTCACTGACATGCCCCCACCTCAAACTGAGGACTTCCCCACTCATAATCATGACTTTGTGGTGGCATTCATGTGCAATCAACTAAATAAATAAATATGATCTTTCCGACATGACTTGAACGAACCCATACAAAATGAGCCAACAGATTTGACTGAAGGAGTGGCAAAATCCTTTGAGCTAACCAGAAAGGGTATCAGTTCTTACTCTGATCTGATTGCGCAGCTGATCTGCCTCCTGCCGCAACTGCTCCAGCTCACTCATGGTCCTCCACACGTTTCACTCCCTTCCCAGCTTTGATAATACTGACAAAGACCTGCAATGCACACACAAACACCAAGTCACATTAAGTAGTCAATAAAGGACTGCTTAATAACAGAGCACTCATGCTGGATTAATAATTTAAGCCACTCACGCACAATTTTCATATATTAATTTGAATGTCATGTCAACGGTCCCACAGACCTAGTAAGACAGCCCCTTTGGATATAGTTTGTGAAGAACACAGAAAGTGCCCCAGCAGCATCAATATTTTTACTAGACTGAATAGAACTAGGAGCTGTATCATATCATTCAGTAGAGGAACCAAACGCTTTAGCTCAGGGGTGCCCAAAATCGGTCCTGGAGGGCTGGTGTCCTGCAGAGTTTAGCTCCAGCTTGCCTCAACACACCTGCATAGAAGTTTCTAGTATACCTAATAAGAGCTTGATTAGCTGGTTTTTGATTAGGGTTGGAGGGAGCTAAACTCTGCAGGACACCGGCCCTCCAGGACAGAGTTTGGGCACCCCTGCTTTAAGCTATTGCACTGCCGACTGAGAGCTGGGCATGCTGTGCTCCTTTGTTTAATGAGGGGCAGCACTGCACTTGGCACTGCCTACTAGTTGGCATCCCTTAAATATAGCTAACACCACCCCAATAAGGAGACATATTAAAATGCTTAAAACATTAAGAGGTTACATGAAGTATGATACTCAGCAGCAATGAAAACACAACAACTGTCACTCAAAGGCAGCAAATTTATCAGTTAGTGAAACTGTAATATCACTACAAACGCCAAATAAAGGGACCTCACATCTTTTCATCACAACTTTTAGAAACATTTTAATTATGATTTCACATGCAAACAAATTATTTTAGAGCCGAGCATAGCTTTAAAAAGATTTTGTTGTTGTTGACTTTTTCAGATTTTGCAGTTTAAAATTCCCATGTTTTCCATGACTCAATTAATCTTACCTATAGCGTTCAGGCTGATTTCAGCCTAAAGGCAAATACTGAGTAACTGAATAAAATGCACAGTGTCTTGCCACATTGGTGGTTTGACACAATATGGGAATACCCCATAGAGATCATTCAGGTTTGCCCTGACCTGTTCTACATTTCAGCATAAATCATTTTAGGGAAGCACAGTACCATAACTACAAGCAATGCTGCTAAAACAGGAAGACTGCTGGTCCCAACCCTAGTAAACCAAATTACAGGAAAAGTAAGCAATGATCAGTGTGCATTTTAAGCAATGAACTTTCCCAAATCAGACACTGTACACATTAACAGACAACATATTAAGAATAACATACAAAAAAAAGCTCTGTTTAATTAAAAGAATGGAAAATCCTGTCAAATGGGAACAATTATTTCACATGCTCGAACTAAAAGGATTGACTTTTTAATCCAAAATTGAATATAAACATCGGGATATTTATAATCTGATGAATCCTACTTAATCCAGATGTGTTAATCCCACATTTAACCTGTGGCACTCAGAAACTGTTAAACCAGTGGCCATAAACGCGAACAAAATAAATTGTAAATAAAATATCTACACAGAGACGAAGATCTGCCCGTTAATTGTTACATTCGTGTTGGTCATCGAGTTGAATGTGATTAAATGTAACGTTAACATCAGCATTACACGTTACATTTCACATTATTTCAAGGTAGCAAACTGTTTTGACAACAGATTCAATACCACGTTATACTACACAGAAACCTCCCTGTAAGACATTATTTACGCGACAAAAGGTATAAAAGAACACTTCCCTGCAGATTTGTCATCCGTCAAGTTAATCACAGAGTTATATTATGATTTGGTTATTTTTGGTTAGCACGGTGGCTAGCAAACGGTGACTGTATCATGCCAGCTACTCCAGACCACCACACAAACATTGACACATTACCTGAAGTAACAACACTACAAAATCCTCCTACCGCCTGTAGGGGTGAGCAGATTATTATTATTATTCTTTTTCAAAATATTAACGCTCTCATTTCGTATTATTTATATCCAAAACAAATGTACTAGTTTCAAGGCAATTCACAGAGCGCTTACAGTTACCACACCCATACTGATATTGAGAGCATGGCAACAATTGGATGAAGGTGGGTGGGGGGGTAAATTATTTTAGTGTTTTTAACAGAAGATATTCAGTGTACCTGTGAAAAACTGTGTATATTATGTATCGTATTACTTTATATAGTATATTATCATGAAGCCAATGTGTTTTTATCAAAATAGTTTGACATTTATCTACGCCTAACTACTCGAGTCACCCGCGCTTGAAATGGTTCTGGCTATCAGCTTCCTCAATTATAAAAATGACTGAAGTAGTTTGATTCATGTGGATACAGTGTCACAGGCATTTGATTTGTAACAATGCGTATGCAGACTTAGAAGAAAAAATCTTTGAGAATATACTTGAGAACAGAAAAATATATATTATAGAGTAAATACATAATTGTGTTAATCTATATGTTGTCTACTAGTTTCGGTAATTATAAAAAATGCTGATCTATGATATTGTACAGCAAAGGCTTTTTTTAAAGTGTACTTTGTCACAGAATAAAGTCAAAAGATTCCCACTTTTTTTAAAGCCACATGGTACATTGGGTGGTTGCCAATTTTCCTCTTCTCAGAGTGACTTTTTATTTCAGAGGCAATTTGTCCAAAAATAAATTAATTAATAAAAAATAATAAAGAGCTATTTAAGATGGAATGCAATTATCATATAATATGTATGGTCAAAATAAAAATGTGCATTAGGCAGCACTGACAAGAATGAAGCCATCTGCGGCATTCCATGGGTTAATAAATGCAAACTACTCAGTCACTACTTCATCATCTCACTCCTACTGATCTATAAACCCTGTCTAGAGCACTCAAATAAAAGAGTAATTCAATTACAAAAACAATATTAACTGATATTTAGTATTACCTAGTTTGTTGAAGTCCACCAGTGAGAGGTCGGTCAGTGGAAGCACCCGACTCCCTCTGTAGAGTATGTGCTGATGGGAGCACTGCCACCGGGATAAGCAGTGGGGGCTTTAGTTAACAGCCAGCACATCTACACTGAGAGCTGCTAGTGGTGACAAGGTGGGGCTGGATGGGGGAGGTTGAATAGTGAAAAGTGTGAAGATGAGGTCTTAAAGAGACAGTAGATGTCACTGTCTGTTCATTTGGACAGTGTCACAACTGAGAATGTGTTAAACAGAACAATATTTACCATATTTCATTATTTACCATTTGTTCACATAATCTGGGTGTACGCACAAAAAGCAGGAATGATTGCTGGATGTAGGATCACAACGTAATAAAGGCCTGTCAATAATTTATTAAAATGGAAATCTTTTCCATGTAGTGCATTGCCAACATTTTCATTTCTAGTGCTTCATTGAACCGCTTGCTGTTAATTATGTTTATATTCAGACAAATGTGTACTGAATTTGCCCACTAGCTTGATTTCACACATCCTGCTCCACTGGATGAACATCATATTTGCATTTATGTATCACATTTGATATTAGTTAGAAAACTGCCCATTCAAAACTGCTCAAATATCACAAAAGCAAATCAGCCTTGACAGTCAAAAGTCAAATTAAGGGCTGAGAATTTCCATATATCCATCCAAAGGTACTGACAGCACTAAAGCGATTCCAGCTACAAAGGAAGTCTTTTGAGTCACTATATATCTGAGGATGATATGACAGTTCATGAAACATGAAGCTGCTAAGTCATCCACCTCACATCCTCACCGTTCCCTAAAATCCTAAAGAAATCCATAAACTAATTTAAGCCATTCTCCTTTTCAACCACACAGCTTTATTTTCAGAGCCTTGTTGATGTAAGGTATCTAAAATTTCAACTTGTGGAGAAAATAAAATCTTGGATAACCCATATCAAATCTTATGCTTACAGTATTTAACGTCATCCAAGATTATGTCTTAATTTGTGTAATATAATAGATTCAAATTGACATTTGTACCACTGCATTATTTCAAACAGAAGGAAAGCAGTGTTCAGTATGTGCCTGTGGGG